GACTCTCACTGGATTAAAGATTTAAACTTAAGACATGAAACTATAAAAATGCTAGAAGAAAGTGTAGGGAAAACACCTGAAGAAATCGGCCTGGGCAAAAACTTTATGAGGAGGACCCCCCCCCAGGCAATTGAAGCAACATCAAAAATACACTACTGGGACCTGATCAAAATAAAAAGCTTCTGCACAGCCAAGAACACAGTAAGTAAAGCAAGCAGACAGCCTTCAGAATGGGAGAAGATATTTGCTGGCTATGTCTCTGACAAAGGTTTAATAACCAGAATCCAAAGAGAACTTAAGTGTATTAGCAAGAAAAGAACAAGTGATCCCATCTCACGGTGGGCAAGGGACTTGAAGAGAAACTTCTCTGAAGAAGATAGGCGCACGGCCTACAGATAAATGAAAAAATGCTTATTATCCTTAATCATCAGAGAAATGCAAATCAACACTACTTTGAGATATTATCTAACTCCAGTAAGATTAGCCCATAGCACAAAATCCCCAAACCAGAGATGCTGGCATGAATGTGGAGAAAAGTGGAGAAAAGGGAACACTTCTACACTGCTGGTGGGAATGCAAACTAATACATTCCTTTTGGAAAGATGTCTGGAGAACACTTAAAGAACTAAAAATAGACCTGCCATTTGATCCTACAATTCTTCTACTAGGTATATATCCAGAAGACCAAAAGTCGCACTACAACAAAGATATTTGTACCAGAATGTTTACTGCAGCCCAGTTCATAATTGCTAGGTCATGGAAAAAGCCCGAGTGCCCATTGACCCACGAATGGATCAATATATTGTGGTATATGTACACCATGGAATATTATGCAGCCCTAAAGAAAGATGGAAACTTTACCTCCTTCATGTTTGCATGGATGGAGCTGGAAAATATTCTTCTTAGCAAAGTATCTCAAGAATGGAAGAAAAAGTATCCAAATGTACTCAGCCCTACTATGAAACTAATTTATAGCTTTTCATATGAAAGCTATAACCCAATTATAGCCCAAGAATATGGGAAAAGGGGAGAGAGAAGGGAGGGGAGAGAGGAGGATGGGTGGTGGGAGGGTGATTGGTGGGATCACGCCTATGGTTCATCTTACAAGGGTACATGTGAATCTTTCTAAACGTAGACTATAAATGTCTTAACATAATAACTAAGAAAATGACATGAAGGCCATGTTAACCAGTTTGATGAAAACATTTCAAATTGTAGATAAAAACAGCGCACTGTACCCCATGACTGCATTAATGTACACAGTTATGATTTAATAAAAAAAAATATAATTTGATGAGAGGTTTTCTTATGGGGTAGTCCATTACTTTATTGTTCTTTTACATAGTACTGAAAAATCATTGGGTTTTAGAATGGCTACAACTCTGTTCAGATTACAAAGAGCCATCGCCTGCTGCCCTCTCAGCCCATACAGGTCTCAGCAGGATACAACATGTATAAGGGTGAGGTACTGGAGTTAATTTTCAGGGGGAAGAAGGAATCAGATTTCGAAATAATTCTTTTTTGTGTGTGGTTTTTGGCCAGGGCTGGATTTGAACTTGCCACCTCTGGCATATGGGGCCAGCGCCTTACTCCTTTGAGCCACAGGTACCGCCCCTCCAAATAACTCTTAGACTGTGATAGCAATTCATAATTCCTTTGAAGGACTGATGAAAGTAGGAATTAATACTACATATACCTTTTTAGCAGTCATACCAACATGATGGACTAATGATACTAGAAGAAAGTAGAGCCTTGTAAGTGACTCCATTTCTATTTAGCATTTTTTTTTTTTTTTTTTTTTTT